ATTTATTTATCATGAACAACATCAAGTTCGGTAGATGCCTTAAGCCTACAAATGCGGTTGGCAACCCAATGCTGGTGAACTTCAGTGACGGATCAAATAGTGCTTATGGTGCGTGTGCGTACGTCCGTTGGGCACTGAACGGTGGAGGGTTTGAAAGCAGATTAGCCATCTCTAAGAAGTTACNTTCAATAATCTTGAGCATAGATGGATGACTCCATATCCATGGATAAGAGACCCGGCTGATCTTCCAGACAATAGAAAGGCCGCATTCGGAATGCTTTTGTCTACTGAAAAGAGTCTCGCCAAGAATACTGATCCCGCAAGAGTATATCAAGAGCAGATACAAGATATGATAGACAGGGGCGTTGCCCGAAAGCTAACAAAGAGCGAATTAGAAACCTACGATGGGCCCATTCATTATCTTTCGCATCATGAAGTTGTACGTCCGGATTCAAAGTCCACGCCAGTACGAATAGTCTTTAACACCAGTGCCAAATACATGGGTCAAATGAATGAATATTGGGCCAAGGGACCGGACCTTCTGAACAGCCTTCTGGGTGTGCAGATAAGGTTTAGAGAGGTGGCGTTAATTGGCGATATAAAGAAAATGTACCATTCCGTGGGAACCACCCAGCTCGAACAGCACACGCATCGGTTTCTATGGAGAGACATGGACGCCAGGAAAGAGCCAGACACTTCCGTCATACAGAGACTCTCATTTGGCGATAGACCATCGGGAACCATCGCAACGGTAGCATTGAGAAAAACGGCCGAAATGGCGCAAGAGAAGTACCCTCAAGAGGCCAAAATCATTAGAGACAACACCTACATGGATGACATCATGAGAGTGTTGGTGATAGGGAGAGAACCGAAAGCGTAACACGGAACATAGAGAAGCTGGTCGACATAGGGGGATTCAAGGTTAAAGGCTGGACCATCTCGGGCAGCTCTGACAGCCGAAATGAGAAGGAGATACCCAGTGAAACGTACGCACCCGCAGAGAAAGTCTTGGGAGTTTGTTGGAGACCCGTCGAGGACCTGTTTTGCTTCAAGGTGGCGTTGAATTTCTCCCGACGAAAGAGAAAGCTGCATACCGAGCCGGATATAGAATCCCATCAACTAAAAGAGAGGTTTCCTGCGAAGTTGACAAAGCGAATGATTCTCTCCCAGATCAACAGCATCTATGATCCACTTGGATTGGCAGGTCCGTTTACCGTTAGAGCGAAAACCATGATGAGAAAACTGTGGATGAGTGAAGCGGAGCGGCTTGACTGGGTCGATCCAGTGTCAGACGAATGCAGAGCAGAGTGGAATACATTCTTTTCAGATTTATTTATCATGAACAACATCAAGTTCGGTAGATGCCTTAAGCCTACAAATGCGGTTGGCAACCCAATGCTGGTGAACTTCAGTGACGGATCAAATAGTGCTTATGGTGCGTGTGCGTACGTCCGTTGGGCACTGAACGGTGGAGGGTTTGAAAGCAGATTAGCCATCTCTAAGAAGTTACTCGCGCGAGTTAAGGCAATGTCCATTGACCGGATTGAGCTGTGCGGAGCCGTGCTGAGCAAGCGTCTTAAAGAGCTCCTAGAGAAAGAGTCGAGATATCGATTTACCACGTGCTTGCACATTGTTGACTCACAGATAGTACACGCCATGGTCCAAAAGGAATCATAAGGGTACAACACGTTTTCTGCAACACGCATTGGAGAGATTCAAAGCGGTACTAATCCCGAAGACTGGTGCTGGGTAGTTAGCGAGCAGAACATAGCCGACTGGCTCACTCGAGGCAAGGAGCCAAACGAAATCGACTTAAACAGCGCGTGGCAGAAGGGTCCAGATTTCTTGAAGTTGCAAGAGTCTGAGTGGCCTATTAGTAGGATCTGTGCCATACAAGAGCTTCCACAGGA